TGCAAGGCAGGTCACTACTGAGAATCTAAAGTGTAACAATACACACTAAGTAAATTATTTTGTCATTATTTAATAAAATGACAAAAGAAGATGACCAAAAAGGACATATAATTACTATCATAGGCTGCACTCTAGAAAGTCTTGTAAAAAAGGAATGCAGAAACTATTACTATTACTGGTGAATGGCTTTAATAACTAAAGTTGAACCTTTATTTTCAGAGGCATGTTGAGATAGACCACAAGAAGTGGTCAATCTCATGCCTTATTTCTATATTTCCCAGATTACGGGTTTTTAAGATACAAGCTCAGAATGTATCTTTCTTGTGAAACAAAGCAATTGCTATGGTTTTCTAAAATATTTTTTTGTTCCCCCAGATCTAAAATGGCTGACAAAATTCACATAACAAGAGCACTTTTTTCACCAACGTACTGCGAAGTTATGAAAGCTCAGCCTATTCAGAAACCGTAGCCAAGCAACAAATGTCACAGCAACAAGATATCTAACAAGTGTATTCCTCACACTTCACTTCTTGTGCCTATGACAGGTTGCATTACAAAGCAAGCAAGCAAATGTTCACAGAGTACCAATGCAAAAGAAGGAGGACAGCACGTTTTTTGAGCAGATGGATCACTTGTTTAGAGTTACCGTTTCCACTGGCACTTTGGGTGAGGGCAAGGGCAAGCACGTGTGCCACAGCTGAGTGGATCTACTAGATTCCCCTGATAACCAAGACTTTCCCCCCCAGCATCCCAGTTAACAAAGTGTAGATAGATATATAGGGCATAAAGTGGGAAACAACTAGAGCTGCAGAAAAAAGATAAACCGCCTTGAGTCCCCTGCAGGCTGAGAAAGGCGGTATACAAATACAGTAAATAAATAAATTTTACTACAAGAGATAATCCTCTTTTTAAATATGAGCAAAGATTTAAAAAACTTGAACAGAAGTCTTCTATACTAATTCACAAAGCAATTCACAAACTTTATAAACAAATCACAGCTCATTAAAAGCAATAAAATGAATGTAACTAAAATAAGTGGAATGAGGCACAACAACCTCCTGAGGAAAACAAAACAAAAAAATAATTCAAAGGCAGAAACCGTTAGGTCCAAGCAGTCTCAGTAAAAGCAAAGCCTTGTCAGATTATCCTACAATATGAGGGTCATTATCTGACATAACTTTGTTCTTAGTAAATACTGGACTTTTTATGAATTGCCATTAAATTAGTTTATTTATGGTTACTCTAGGGATGTAAGACCTCTAAGTCACTCCATCATCAACTGTTCTGAACCTATGCCATTTCTTTCTGCATTAGTAAAGATAAAGGTTTCCCCTGACATTAAGCCTAGTTGTGTCCGACTCTGAGAGTAGTGCTCATCTCCATTTCTAAGCCAAAGAGCAGGTGTTGTCTGTAGACGCCTCCAAGGTCATGTGGCCAGCATGACTGCATGGAGTGCCATTACCTTCCTACTGGAGCAGTACCTATTGATCTACTCACATTTGCATGTTTTCAAACTGCTAGGTTGGCAGAAGCTGGGGCTAATGGCAGGAGTTCACCCCGCTCTCTGGATTCAAACCACCAACCTTTTGGTCAGCAAGTTCAGTAGCTCAGTGGTTTAACCCGCTGTGTCACCAGGGGCACAAATGGTACATATGGGATCTCAAATAGTTAAGGCCCGATCTACACTGCCATAATCCAGATTATCTACTTTACATTGGATTATATGGCAGTGTAAACTAATATAATCCAGTTCAAGCAGATTATCTGGATTTTATAAGGCAGTGCAAATGGAGCATTAGCTTGTCATTAACTGCTATTAAGAAACTTTGACTTGCAGACTCAGGACTATGCCTTCATTGATTGAGTCTATCCATATGTAATGCAGACTTTCTCTTTGCCTACTGCACTCTGATGCCTTATTGCTTCTTGTTTTAGTAGTCCAATGTAGTCATAGAACTCTTGTCCAGTACCACAATTATGTTGAAAGGATGACCTAAGAAAGAGGCAGCAGGCTTGTTTTCTGCTTCCCTGGAGACTAGGTCTCGGAGAAATGGCTTCAAATTATAGGAAAGGAGATTCCACTTGAACATTAGGAAGAACTTCCTGACCTGTTCAACAATGGAACTCTCTGCCTCAAAGTCTGGTAGAAACTTCTTCCTTGGAGGCTTTTAAAAAGAGGCTGGATTGTCATCTGTCAGGGGTACTTTGATTGTGCTTTTCCTGCGTGGCAAGGATTTGGACTTGATGGCCAATGTGATGTTTTCCAGCTCTATTATTGTATGATTTCAAATCAGATAAATTTCTTCCTATCAACTTTCTTCACTGTCCAGCTTTGAGAACCAAACATAGAAATTGGAAATATGTCTAACTTTCATATTAGATTAGATATCTTTACACTTCATGGTGCTTAGTTCCCTTATAGCTACCCTTCCAAATCCTAAACTCCATCTGATTTATTTCCTGTAGTTTCTGTTTTAATTAATGAGTGAGTCAAGACATGATAAATCTTTAACTATGTTGATGTCTTCATCCTTTACTTTAAAGGTGTGTTAAATCACCTGTAGTCATTTTTAATATTCACCTGCAAACCTGTCTTTGTACTTTTCTTCCTTTACTTTCTTCAGTAATCGGGCCAAGTCTTTCCTATTTTGCTATTAATAGGGCGTTATCTGTCTATCTTACATTGTTGATTTTTCTTGACATTCCTTTCTCTAATTTTCATGTCTCCTTCCTCTTATCCTAATCCTGTTTTATGTATGATACGTTCACTATAAAAGTTAGACAGAGTAATAAAACGCAGCCTTGCCTGACCTCTTTGATAACTGGAATCCATCTGTTTTGCCATATTCTCTTCTGGTCATAGTCTCTTCCCATCAGGACAAATGCTGTGGCCTACCCATTTCTCTAGGAATAATCCAAAGGTTTTCAAGATCTACACAAAATTTTCTTTTGAATTTTTTTGATGTACTTCATTGGCCAACATATGTCTACAATATGATTCATAGTGTTTCTTCTTTTCCTGAACCCAACTTAGACGCCTGACATTTGTTATGCCATGTATGGCAAAAGTCTTTGTTGCATAATTTTGAGCATCACTTTGCTTACATGGGAGAGTAATCTAGTGGTTTCTTTAAACCAGTGCTTCTCAATCTTCCTAATGCCGCGGCCCGTTAATACAGTTCCTCATGTTGTGGTGACCTCCCAACCATAACATTATTTTCACTGCTACTTCATAACTGTAATTTTTCTACTGTTGTGAATCGTAATGTAAATATCTGATGTGTACAATGTATTTTCACTCACTGGACCAAATTTGGCACAAATATCCGAAACATCCAAATTTGAATACTGGTGGGGTTGGTAGGGATTAATTTTGTCATGTGAGATTTGTAGTTGCTGGGATTTATAGTTAACCTACAACCAAAGAGCATTCTGAACTCCACCAATGATGGAATTGAATCAAATGTGGCACACAGAACTCCAATGACCAACAGAAAATACTGGAAGGGTTTTGTGGGCACTGACCTTGAGTTTTGGAGTTGTAGTTTACCTATATCCAGAGAGCACTGTGGACTCAAACAGTGATGGATTTGGACCAAACTTGGCACACATACTCAGTATGCCCAAATGTGAACACTGTTAGGGGAAGGGGGATTATTAATTTTGTCATTTGGAAATTGCAGTTGCTGGGATTTGTAGTTCATCTACAATCAAAGAGCATTCTGAACTCCATCAACGATAGAAATGGCCAAACTTCCCACACAGAATCCCCATGAACAACAGAAAATACTGTGTTTTCTGATGGTCTTTGGTGGCCCCTCTGACACGCCCTCGTGAACCGCCAGGGGTCCTGATCCTCAGATTGAGAAACACTGCTTTAAACCCTAGTGCCTCCTTTCTTGGGAATTGAAATACATATTGAACATTTCCAATTCATCCACCTAAATATAGTATCATAAACACCATTTTGTTCTAAATTGTATCCAATGGCAACTCTACTTAAGGCACTGATTTATAGGAAGCATCAGGAAAAACTCTGTTTTTCAGTAGAGGGCACAGTTAGAAAATTAGAAAAGCTGGAAAATAGCACCCTCTGTACTGGTTTAGTTTCATGAGCATTTGTTTACTCACACATATTTATTCCAGGTGACTGTTCTAAGACATCACTGCCAATTTGCATCCGATCAAAGATAAAAACCAAAGCTGGATATTATCAGCACATGAATATGTTACAACACAGCATCACCTCAAGCAAACTCACCCAAGAATTTCACTTACGGTAATATTTAAAAGCATGAAAGATGAAACCAACCCCTCGGGATCATAGTAAAGAGCAATCCTCACAAGGAGGAAGAGGAAGGTGAAACACAAACACACAAAGAAACCTCCAGCCCTAACTTTGAGATAAATCAGGATGTGTATTATCAGTAGTCAAAATTATCTCAAAAGCAGCTAAGAAGCTTAGAGACCTCAGCATGGTCATGAACTCACTGCTATTGTCTCTCTTGCATATGTCACTACCAATCCATAAAGGTTTTCCTTTACTGGAGCTTTTCTTGGCATCAGGCAAATGCCTTTTTGTTCCGTCATGCCTTTTATATTTTGATTGCTTTTGAGATCATTATAATTTGCCACTCCTAATAGTTGGTCAACTTACAGCTCGTTCTTATTCTGCTTTGATGTTTGCTCATGGTTATTTACTGTGAACCAACCTTGGACCAATTGATTAAAGGGCAAAATATATGTGCACATAATTACTGTGATATATAAACAAGACACTTAGTTCACAGTCTGTCTCCAAACCAGGTCTGTAAAAGAGCAGGAACAGAGAGTAGGAATCGGTTTTGCCTGTGAATGCATCTTTAGCTACCATTTTCTCACCCTCTTGGTACCCTTCCCATTGCAAATTCAGGCTCTAACAATCAGTTTTAGGTGGACCAATTATCCTTCAAGGAGGAAGTTACAAGAAATTTTGATAATTAGATATTGATCTAGTTAAATGCACATGCGCAGACACGTCACACAGTTTACAGATCTAGCAGGAAATTATCGGGGGAGGGAGGGATTAAATTATTCCTTTTTGAGCCTGCAGAAGGCCTAGGCTATTAAGCAGATACATGAGCACTCTCTTTTCTGAACAAAGGGCTGGTGATCAAATGCATCTTATCTCTGACAGACTGAAATATTTCTCAGAGTGCTGCCAAATGGGTGGCACAATCACAAGCCGCAAAAGCGAAACACCTCTCTGTTTCTCTCTCTGCGTGTCTTTGGGTTCAAAGTATTGGCCTGTAGGTAAGTATTATTATTATTATTATTATTATTATTATTATTATTATTATATACATAACAAGATTAGTACACAGCAAATAAGATCACTATGCTGGCTTTTGTATTTGATCACACGTCAGACCCTAAGTATCTAGGACTGTGTGATGTATCGGCAAATAATGCATGCAGATCCAAGTAGGGTGGCCTTTTGCAGCTGACAAATGGTGATTTTGTCCATGCAGGCCAAGGTTGTTGTTGTTGCTGCTGCTGTCGTTGTTATTACAACTCATATCAGGTGGGGAGGGGGAAATAATGAATGGGCCCAAAGTCAGAAAATAAAAAGGAATTGAACTGTTTCTTCCCCTGCTGCTAACCTACCGATACTTGCTTTTCTGTGACTGTTTGGTTTTCATTTAATTTCAGGCATGACATCTGCTGTTTGGTGGACTTAAGAGCACTCTGGAATTTTGTTCAGGTTAAAGTCATATGTCTCCCTGGAAGAGAAACAAGGTCAAGTGGTTCAAAACAGGACTGAAAGCACATACTCCTGGCTTGTTGCTGCCAAGAAAGAAATGCTCTTTATCCCTGGGAGTGGCAAGACTGTAAAGTGTACAGGTTGGCATGGGGCGTGGAGGGGCAGGTGTATGACTGGTGTGTGCCTGTGACATACATAGCCACTCATGTGGATGGAGGTGTGCAAGCTGAAGACTAGGGAGGTTCTGTCAGACCAAGGGGAGGGGTGAGCTCCTATCTTGACTCCCTTCCACACACCCTTCTTCCTGCTACTGTGCTTTAAAAACCACAAGAACCTGCCAATCCAGCCACTCATGGCCATGGTGGCCAACACTGCTTATCGTACCTGACCGAGGATTTCAGGGATTCCAGTCTACTCGACTTCATTCATGAATCCTGTCTCTTCCCAGAGGATCTGAAGAACCTGTTCCTATTTTTTCCTCTGACCTATGAGTACCACCTGCCTTGAAGAGGAACCCAAGACTGAACCATGAGCTCCAACTTACTTTTTTATGGGTTGCCTGCTCTTGGGATTTATGCATTGGCATCTCACTGCCTGAGAAAGAACCCACATCTACTCCACAAAAAGAAAAGGTTTCCTGTCCGATGCCGGCATGTCTCTCATCGAGGTGGTGAGTTTTTGCTGACCTAATTGGAATTTGATTGAGAGGGGTGGCACTTGCAGAACCTGGAAAGCAGGTGTGCTGAGCAACAATTTGGAGTTGCTAGAGTTGAGTGTGGATGAGAAATCAGTCCCAGACACCTGATCCTCTTTTCCTTCTGACAGGTGGGATGTTCATATTTCTTTCTGCTTCAGTTCCCTAGACTTGTATTGCCACATTCCTAAGCCCATACAGGCATTTGGTCTCTTGGAGGAAAGAGGGGGAAATATTGGGAGCTTCACTGCCTGCCTTTCCCAATGTCCCTCTTTTCTTCTCAGGTTGCGGTGAACGGATTGAGAACACTTTGGAAGCCTTTCATCAGTGAGTGATGCCACCTTATCCTTCTTTTCACTGTCTTGGCCTGCACCATTACTGCTGCCGTACAGTCTCTAACACTGACCTCTTTGTCCATCTTCCCAGTGCATTGAGCCAGGGGACAAACCTGCTGGAACTTGACTGCCAGCTGACAAAAGATGGTATTGTGGTTGTGTCCCATGATGATGAACTGCTACGCCAGACAGGACACAAAATTGACATCATGAAGACAAACTATGCGGTAAGGACTCCATGGTTCTAGCACTCAGGTTAACCTGCTTCTGTTATTCATGGTCACATTATTTTTTTTTCTTCTGTGACTGAACTCAATCCATGTGGGGTTTCCACCCAAAATACTGACCAGACTCAAAGCTGTTCAGACTTAGCAAGGTGTCTTTATAATGTCCCCGCAAAGCATAATCGAGGATCATACCTATAACCTCAAGAACCCATCTCCCTCCCAGAAAGCCCAGGACTCTTTCTTCACATATGCACACAACCTACAAGCCACTCAATCCTATAAATTCCACACACACAAAAACAACCTAAAAAACAAAATGTCCTGGTTACTTAGTCCTTACCCTTATTGTGTTCCATAGGATCTGCCACCCTATAAGGATTCTCTGGAGGTGACATTTTCACCAGGTAAGTAGGACTAACAGTTGTTCTGGGTGAGGAATGGTGTGATGGGTGGCCAAAAGACTTGGTGAAATTTCACCCTGGCAAAGTATGCTCTAAGCCCCTACCACCTACCCCTTCCTGACAGGTTCCTTCTCCCATGGTAAAGACCACCGGATTCCAAAATTGGAAGAGGTCTTCCAGCAATTTCCCGGAGTACCTATCAATATTGAAATTAAAAAAGACAGTGATGAACTCATACATAAGGTAAGGGTTAACTTTTTCTTTTGCCTATCCCAATAATGTACAAGACCTACATTTGTGTTGATTTCTCCTTTCAAGGTTCAGCCCCCAGTGACACTGCTTTCTCTTTTGCATCTGGACAGACTCTTATCTACAACATCTGCATCTTGCAATGAACTCTACTTAACACCATTTCTTTTTCACCTCTGCATTTTCACTATCCCACTAATAAAAAGGAATGTTGCGACACTGTAAGGCCAGCAGGTTTATTATGGTTTAAACATTAATGGACTATACACAACACTAGATCTATACAGCTGATATATTTTTGTGAAGTGGCAAGAATACATGCCACAGTTAATCTGTCTGTCTTGTATGTGTTATAAGACTCCTTTCTGGTTCTATTATCTGATTTTGCCACTAGCTTAGCCCCCAGATTTTTGCTGAAAATGCAACTATATCCACAAGGATCCAGAAGAACTAGGTAAACACATATATTTTCTCACTCTGTTTTTAGAATCCTCTCACATATTCTGGACTTTAAAAAACCTGGACATTCTATACATAATAATTAGAATGTCAAATTCAAGGGGTTTTTTTTATCTCTTCAGTGCATTCAGTACTCCAAGCTTTGTGAGAAGGAAGCTAGCAACCAAGGAAGGCAAATTATTAATAATAATAATAATAATAATAATAATAATAATAATAATAATAATAGAGGATTAAAAAATCCAACTACAAAGACTCTGGCATAAGCCAGTCAAGGTGGTCCCAGTAGTGATCAGCACACTGAGTGGAATGCCTAAAAACCTTGGCCTGCGCTTAAAAACAATTGATACTGACAAAATCACCATCTGTCAGCTGCAAAAGGCCATCCTACTCGGATCTGATACATCACACAGTCCTAGACACTTGGGAAGTGTCCAGCATGTGATCAAATACAAAAGCCAGCATAGTGATCTTGTTTGATGTGTACTTATCTTGTTACGTATCTAACAACAACAACAACAACAACAACTTTATTCTTATATCCCATCTCCCTCTCCCTGAAGGGACTCGGGGTGGCCTCTATGAGAACCAAGCCCAAATAAACAAGGATACAAAGTAAAACAATTAAAACATATAACGGTAAAATATATTAAAACAATAAAACCAATAAAATATAATACATCATAAAACATGAACCAAACAGCAAACAACCAGTGAAGAAACCTGAGTTTACAAATTAAAATAGTGTTGGTTTTTTAAAAATAATTTCCTAGTAGAAAATTAAATGTCAGAAAGACTGAACTGTATGTGATAATCTACAGTGGAATACAATCTTAACTTGCATGGAATGAGCAGTAATCCTAGATACCATATGTTTAACCCCTTCAGATGAACTTCTGTTCCATTTGCATGACTGAGGTGACTCTGAAAAGTCTCATTTCCTTTTGTTAAAACTGTTTCTGACTCTGTCCTTCTCTACCATCTGGTCTCGCACACAGGTAGCTGACCTTGTTCGGCAATATGAGCGCTCCCACATAAGCATCTGGGCTTCCTTTGAAGGGAAGGTACTGAAGAAATGCTGTGCAGCTGTATGTATCAATTGTCCTTTACTACCTTCATAGCTATCAGTCTCATAAACAAAGCAATGTTTACTGGACCAAGTTTCTGACTGTAGGAGAGCAAACAGGAATTCAGCCTACAGAAGACTCTTCATAGAGAGGGGGCAGGAAGATGCAGACCATAGCAACAGACTATGACATATCCAAGAGGCAGCTTCCTGCTCACTTTCAGTTGGTTTTTCTACCTTATTTGGTACCACACACTTAACAATTTCAAACTTGTAAAGCTGTCATGTTATTTAATGCAAAAATCCTGTGAATAGTATTTCAGTAAAAGCTTTAAGAAAAGCCCACAGAGAATTAAAATAGTCCAACCAACCAGATCTTAAAAGTGTTCCTTTAAGGACTACAGTTCCCATACTCTCTTCAGAAATGAGAGTAACACAATTTAAATCAATTGTTACGCTAATTTTGAGTACAGTATATTCTGGCGTATAAGACTACTTTTTAACCCAAGAAAATCTTCTCAAAGGTCAGGGGTCGTCTTATACGTGGGTGTAGTCTTATGCATGGGAGTCGTCTTAACTCTATATTTTAACTGGAAAAGTTGGGGGTCGTCTTATACACCCAGTCGCCTTATATGCCGGAATATACGGTATGTATTTATTTTTTTCCCATCATATCAACCTTTAAAAATATGCTGAATGGTACATTACAGCGGACTACTGTAAAGTCTGCACATTTCACATATTCATGTAACACAAGCCAACAAGTATTTTTCATGAGATATGATTTCAATTTTTCACAATGAATCCAGATCTGTGTTTTTTCCCCTATATCATGTGTAGTTTTTTGCGATAAGGCTAATAGAATAATTAATGCATTTACGCACTGATATAAATAGAATCTAAGCCAACAAGTATTTTTCATCAGGTATGATTTCAGGTCATTCTTATTTTCACTGAATTCAGATCTGCGTTCATTTTTTCTCAATCACATGTAGTTTTTGTGATGAAGCTAAGTGAATAATTAATGCATTTATGCACTAATATAAATTAGATTCTATTGATATCCGTGTGTAAGTGCATTAATTATTCGATTAGCCTCATTGCAAAAACTACACGTAATAAAGAAAAAATAAACACAGATCTGATTCAGTGCAAAAAACTATAAGAATGTCCTCAAATTACATCTGATGAACAATACTTGTTGGCTTGTGTAATCTCTCAACCAGCACTGGATAACATCCAGGTCTTAGGGAGATTTTGAGAGTGGCGGTCCAAAAGAATTTTTTTTTGTTTGCGTGAAAGTGCAATTATCAAATGGTTTAAATTTGATAATTTAAAGACACTCTCTGATCTCTCTCTTCCCAAGGAAAAAAAACACAAGGACCTGCTTTTCCTGGAACATCAAAATATGATTAATTGAAAGACAGATGACAAACTAGTCAGAATGCAGTAATGACCAGGAGAAATCTGTGTAATGACCAGGAATGGTTCTGGCTTGATCCCAGCTGTTCAATCTTGAAGTTAAATTATCCTTACAAAATGTGACATAACATTATTTTATCCTTCTTATCTATCCCGTAGAACACTGAGATGCCCTATATATTTTCTCTGTCGCGTGGAATCCTAATTCTTCTGCTCTATTATGTGGGGCTCTTGCCTTTCATTCCCCTGAAGGAGTCCTTTGTGGAGTTTGTGCTGCCTTCCATCATGAACAGGTAACAGAATATGGGCAAAAGAGGATGGGGAGAGAGAAAGAAGTGACAAGTGGAGTGCCATAAGTGGGTTCTGTCCTGGGCCCGGTTCTGTTCAAATCTTTATTAATTACTTAGATGAAGGGTTAGTGGGCATGATCATCAAGTTTGCAGATGACACCAAATTGTGAGGGATAGCTAATGCTCCAGAAAACAGGAGCCGCGTTCAACTCGATCTTAACAAATTAGAGAGATGGGCCAAAACTAACAAAATGAAGTTCAACAGAGACAAATGCAAGATATTATACTTAGGCAGAAAAAAATGAAATGCAAAGATACAGAATGGGGGATGACTGGCTCAACATGTGAAAAGGATCCTGAAGTCCTCGTGGACAACAAGTTAAACATGAGACAACAATGTCATGTGGCAGCTTAAAAAACTAATGGGATTTTGGCCAGCATAAACAAGAGTCTAGTGTCGATCTAAGGAAGTCATGCTACCTCCTCTATTCTGCCTTGGGCCCAGAATACTGTGTCCAATTCTGGGCACCGCAATTGAAGGGAGATATTGACAAGCTGGAATGTGTCCAGAGGAGGGTGATCAAGAGTCTAGAGAACAAGCCCTATGAGGAGCAGCTTACAAAGAGCTGGGCATGTTTAGCCTGCGGAAGAGAAGGCTGAGAGGAGACTAGGATGTGGAACAATGGCTTCAAACTACAAGAAAGGAGATTCCACCTGAACATGAGGAAGAACTTCCTGAGTGTGAGAGCTGTTCAGCAGTGGAACTCTCTGCCCCGGAGTGTGGTGGAAGCTCTTTCTTTGGAGGCTTTTAAACAGAGGCTAGATGGCCATCTGTCAGGGGTGCTTTGAATGTGATTTTCCTGCTTCTTGGCAGGCAGGGATTGGACTGGATGGCCCACGAGGTCTCTTCCAACTCTAGGATTCTATGAGAGAGTATGAAAGACAACATTCTTAGACTGGCTATCAGTTCAAGCTGCGGGAAAAGCGTGAAATGGTGAACCACTCCCTAATTCCACTTCAGTTTGGTATTTCGGTTATACCAGCTGCCGATCAGAGTCCTTGAACACTAGGCTTGTGGTGTAAGGGAGTAAGAGTGAAAGCTGTACAGACCAAAATATGGTCTCTACATGGCTTAAAATGGGGGAATATGAGATCAACTGTTTATCACAAATTGGCCAGTAGTGTTCCCTTGATGGTAAGCGCTATTTGCCATTTAGAGTGCGGAATCACTGGGACTTCAGGTGGTTCCTTGATTGCCCTTTGCCTACTCCTGCCCAAGAGCAGGAGTAGTCTTCAGGGTTCTGGTGCATTCTAGATAAGAGCCTGAGACTTCTCAGAACTCATTCTGGGCTGTTAGTACTTCAGTCTGCAGTTAAATATACTCTTCATTCAAAACCATTTTCTGAACAAATAAACCCAAGAATTAGTGCCTCTTTCTAACTTAAAAGGGACTCAACCTTTTCTTGCCACTGCCAAGTTAAATATTTCTCCACACTGGAGAGAGCCATTAAAGTACCATCTGCTTCACACTGGCTTAATAGATCCCAGGAACATATAAAAAGTAAAGCTCAGGCTGTCACTGCAATTGGGAATAAGTAAAGCAAGCAACTTCTAATGATTGCATTCTTAGATACTATATAGCCTCCAGTAGAGTTTACAATCACAGTGAAAAATGAGCAATCAAGCTTTTGTGATATGGTTGTTCTGCCCCTCATTGTATCTTTTATTTTATTATTGCTAATACTTTAGTTCTGAGGGAAATGGTATGATAACACAGTAGTTAATGAATTTTACTGTGTGTGTGGGGGGGGGGGCAGAGGTGACTTCAGGATTGTTAAAAAAGACTGTGGGAATCTAGCACCTTTGAAGAAGCATGACAGAAAGTGACATTTTCTTGCTGGTCTTATATCCTCATTGTTTTTATGTTTTTGTCTTTTCTAATCACAGGACATATTTTCCAGTGGAAAGGGGCATGTGGGGAGCACTGCTGGCAAAATTTTCCTACAAGTGAGTGACAGCAAAAAATACTTTACCTTTTCATCTCTCTTGATCACTAACCAAGCTTGAAAGTCCCTTTGCACACTCTGGTTTTTCAGAAAATTATTCACAGAGTGGGCTTAACTAAATCTGAAGTTTTAATACCTGATTTCCCTTGAGTTTTACCAAAATATAAGACTACCCTAGTAGTTTTTACAGCTTAAATATCACAAAACCATTTTATCTAAATTTCAACATAATGGATCTCTCCTGTTTTAACATGTACCACAATATTTTTTCAGCTTTTTAATTTTTATTTATTTGGCTGGTGTATTTTGTTGTTGTTGTTTACCCCCTCCTCCCGGACATACAATCTATACAATAAATTACAGAAATTGCATTTGAAATATCACTCTTAGTCTCAGTTTTCCACTCCACATCTTAATACATTCTCTAAATAATTCCTAAGTGGATCCCGCATGTTCTTAATTATTATAACATTTTCTATATTGTTCAGTTTACAATTTGTTATTTCCACATTTAGCATATTTACTATATAATTATACAATTTGTCAGAGTCCACTTTGTTCTATCTTTCCAACTGCTCACTAAAACAATTTGAGCACACGCTATTGATTTGCCAACCACTCTTTCCTTTTGCACATCATACACTCCTGGTATCCTTGCATGTAATACATTTCTATTGGCTATTATGATTTGAAGATTTAACATTCTATTAATTTATTCTTCAGTCGTTTTCCAATACGCCTGTACTCTGTCACATTCCTATATCATGTGATTAAACACACCTCTTTGTTTACAACCATGCCAACACCTGTCCTTTACCCCAGTAAAAAATGTGAAAATTGTGCAGGAGTCTTGTACCTGTTTGTAACATCTTCTTTCTTGCTTCCCTAAGTACATTATATTTTTCCTTTGCTATATTACTTATTTCCCTTTGGAAATATTTTACTGGTGTCCAAAACAAGCAACATGTAACCTTCCCTATCCTTTCTATTCCTTTTTCAAACAGAATGACAATGAGGAAAAAACTTTTCAAGCATCTCGAAGACAGAGGAATACAGGTAAATTGGAAGCAACTCAGTCAAGGCTTTGGCCACTGTAATCTCTATGATATGAAAAATGTCAACTCTGAGTCTTCCTATTAGCCTGGAAATGCACGAGGGCTCCTCCAGACAGGAAAAACAAATTCGAGAATGTGTTATTTTGTGCTATAATGCTTGGGTTATTTTTAAACTTTCCAAATATTTCCACAGTCTTTGACTATTTACAGGCATTTCTCAGCCCTAAGAGTAACATGTTACTCCTACCCCCAAATGGGTTTCTTTTTAGAACAATATGTAACCTTCCATTTTCCTCCTTTCTTCCTTTTTTCTGTTAGAGCTACAGTATATCATTGAACTAGTACTTCTGCAGTAGAACTCTGTAACTCTAGGAAATATTTCTAAAATGTAGAGAGGAGAAAATTTGCCCTTCCAACAATATGACCACCGCAGCAAACCAAAAATTATTTGGAAGCACAATAAATCCACAAAATTTCTATGAAGATCCCCACTCCCTACTAATGTAATGAGTAGGCACAGAGGCACTAATACCTTTGCAAACCTTGAGGAACTGCAGCACGAGAATGTATGCTTTTTTAGACTACTCTGGAAGAACGTGCAGATAAATTTGGCTTGCTTGGATGGTTTCATCTGGCCTTTCTATTCTTTTGGATGGGAGTAGAAGAGTAGAAACATGGGTATTTATTACCAGTTAATTTGTCTACCATTACCGCTATACCAGTGTTTCTCAACCTTCCTCATGTCGCAACCCCTGAATACAGTTTCTTATGTTGTAGTGACCCCCAACCATAAAATTATTTTTGTTACTACTTCATAACTAATTTTGCTACTGTAATGAATCATAATGTAAATATCTGATATGCAGGATGTATTTCATTTACTGCATCAAATTTGGTACAAATATCCTATACCCCCAAATTTGAATACTGGGGGCCTTGGGGGGATTCATTTGGGAGTTGCAGTTGCTGGGATTTATAGTTGACTTATAATCAAAAAGCATTCTGAACTTCACCAATGATGGAATTGAACCAGTCTTGGAACACACAACTCCCATGACCAACAGAAAATACTGGAAGGGTTGGTGGGCATTGATCTTGAGTTTGGAAGCTGTAGTTCACCTACATCCAGAGAGCAATGTGGGCTCAAACAATGATGATCTGGAACAAACTTGGCACGGATACTCAATATGCCCAAATGTGAACACTGGTGGAGTTTCGAGAAAATAGACCCTGATATGTGGGAGTTGTAGTTAATGGGATTTATAGTTCACTGACAATCAAAGAGCATTCTGAACCCCACCAACAACAGAATTGGGTCAAACTTCCCACACAGAACCCCTAGGACCAACACAAAATACTATTTTTTCTGATGATCTTTGGTGACCCCTCTGACACCCCCTCACGACCCCCCCAGGGGTCCCGACCCCCAGGTTGAGAAACACTGCGCTATATCATGAGAAGGACAGAAGTATCTATTACCGTATTTATTTATTTGCAATGCTGTATCAATATACCACCTTTCTCACCCCTGGGGAAACTCAAGGCAGTTTACAACATACTAATGGCAAAATTCAATGCCAACATACAGTACATATTACTACATATAACTATGAACTTAAAAACAATTAAAACCTTTAAACATAAGATATCAATAAAATTTAAACATTCAGACAAAGCACAAAATCATCCTAGTATAAACATTAAAATCCCATTATCCAGAAATCATATTCCATAGCCATTCCAAATTGTCATTGCACATTGTTCCTTCATTATTCTTTATACTGCATTATTTATTAGTCAAGGGCTTGATCCCACAACCATGTCTTTGTTCTTTTTCTAAAGGCCAGGAGGGAGGGTGCTGATCTAATCTCACTGGGGAGGGAGTTCCAGAGTTGAGGAGCCACCACTGAGAAGGTCCTGTCTCTCGTCTCGGCCAACCACACTTGCAATGGAGGCAGGACTGAGAACAGAGCCTCCCCAGATGATCTTAACCTCCATGGTGGTTCATAGAGAGATACGTTTGGAATAACATAATGTTCCTAACTATACACTGAACAAAGCATACATACAATTCACATTCATATATGTAACAGCCCTGTCTGATAGACTGGATAAATCACTCTTAATTGAGGTGCCCCACAATTTAAACCAGGAAGGGCCAAGCTTTCCTCATTCTATGGTTAGAGCCTGCCTCTTGACTTCAAGTCTCCCAGAAAGGCTAGATTTAGACCCCTTCTACACTGTTCTAATATCCCTAGATCTGATCCAAGATTATCTGCTTTAAACTGGATTATATGAGTCTCCAGTGCCAGATAATCTGGGATAAGCAAATAATCTGGGATCAGATCCTGGAATATAGGAGCAATGTGGAAGGGGCCTTAATTGTATAATTCTCATCCTCATAAATAATAAAATAGAAACACTTTATCAAACTAGCGCACTGATTGTGATATGAACTTTTATGTGGGCCAGAACCCATGCATCTCGGAAATGGCATGGTGAGTGATACAGAATGAACATTTTGTTTTCTGGTGGTGTTGCAGACCACTGTATTCTGATAGCTATGTCAACATCACTTGCTTGTCCATACTGGTTAACCTAGAACTGTGACTGTATTACAAGAGGTATTTTTTTAATTACCAACAATCAAATGGTGGACATTGAAAGGAAAATAGATTACATTGAAACAGGATATATTGCAACAACACTGCCCAGATGCTCCACAGTAAGTGAACAAACCACAGACAAAGAGAGAGAAAGAGAGAGAAGGACTAGAATGGAAAGTTCTATAGTCTAACCCACAAAAGATTACCAGAAAATAGTTTCCTGTCTTTCTGGTGTTTGATTTATTCTTGCTGCAGGAGACTACACAACTTTCTCTGCAGCATAGCCTATCTGCAATGTTGAAAGTACTTTAGATATATTATTGGAAACAACTGTGTAAGATAATTCATATTTATACTGCAAATGCAAAGCTGAAATCTGAAAATAGTAGTTTCACGTATTCCTGGAAACCAGCACCAGTAAGTTCAATGGCATTTACATCTGCATGAGAACACAGGCCCCATCTACACTGTCATATAATGCAATTTTACAATGCAGTTAAACTGCATTATGTGAGTTGACATTGCCATATAATGCAGTTAAACTGCATTTTGAAACTGCATTAAATGGCAGTGTAGATGGGGCCACAATTGCCCACTATCTTCAGTTCATAGCTCAGATTAAATCTAAACCAACAGCTTCCTGTCTCAATATCACAGCTTACTCTACATTGGTTCTCAGGTGTCTGTGGTATTATCTGCATCTACTTTGTATATGTCATTCAGTTTCACAACCACCTGACTTTTCCTCTTAAGGAAGTGCTTTTCCTCCAGCAATACACATTGGTGATTGTAAAGTAGTGACTTTTCCTTCAGCAACATTCTGAACAGTTTGAGTTAATGGCTAAATAAATAAGTCACTCATTAAAAAGGTATGAAGAAAATCTAGCTGTCAGCAGAAATGTCAATACTCAGAATAATCTCTCTCCCATATAGGTTCTTCTTTGGGTCCTGAATGACGATAAATATTTTGACGAAGCCTTCAGTTATGGGATTTCTGGAGTCATGACGGATTATCCCACACTCCTCCGGAAGTATCTAGATACTCATCCACCCCTTTACAAAGAATAATCCAGAACATGACTGGGAATGCACTGAGGGAGAAGCTATTTAGATATTGCCTGAGGAAAGGAAAAAGATATGCCACATCAGAAGGAAAAGGAAAGAAACCCTGAGCTAAGCTTTGTATGATCAAAATCTAGTGTAAAATTATGAAATAATAAAATTTATTGTTATTAGATATTAGTAGCATTTTCAATTGCTTATAATTTTTACAATGGGAGGAAGGAAAGGGGAAATATTTTGTAATCTTTAATAATAGCCAGCTTATTTCTAGAATGCTGCAAGTCGCTTCTGGTTGTTTCTGGTGTGAGAGAATCAGCTGTCTTGTTGCCCAGGGGACGCCCAGATGTGTCGCAATCCTGCGAGGAGGCTTCTCTCATGTCCCCCGGATATCGGCCAGAATGCCAATGCCTCAAATCAAGGAATAGTTTGCTAAGATCTATAGAGATACTCACAGGAACACCTCAGCAAGCGAGAGTCCAAAAGTGGCAGGAAAAACCCGGAACCCCAATCCATGGCTGATACCGAATGAGGGACTCCCCCCTGGGCACACAGAAGACTGGGTGACTTGGAAGGCACTGAACTGGCTGCACTCTGACACCATGAGATGCAGAGCCAACCTTAATAAATAGGGCCACAAAGTGGCATCCACAACATGCGAATGTGGAGAAGAGCAAACCACAGACCACCTATGACAATGCTGACTGAGCCCTGCCACACGCACAATGGAGCAACACCAGAGGCACTCCAAGTAGACAGCTACTGGTCATAGAACATTTAATATAATGCCAAGTTTTAAAACTTTGAGGTTTGTTTGTTTTTTTAAAATACATTACAACTGCACCCTTAGTTTGCTTCTGATACGATAAATAAATAAAATATTTCCAGAATAACCTGAAATTATTTGGGTAGTTCCAAAGTTGCCACAAAACTCCTTTTTTATACTAAAATAGTTTGGGGTAGCTATCTCTTTGATCATTTATACGTATAAAGCAAGGAGTTTGACTGGTGCCTTATGCTATAAATCAGTACTTGTTCAACTATTTCTCTAATATGTCAGGGATCACAAACATATTTGTTCCCATTAACTACAACTGATTATTTATTTCCTGGTAAACTTGTCACAGACCAGAATAGCCAATAGTTTATGGACACATATCAGTCTATGAAACATTATTTTGTGTAGAATGGCCATAATTCACAAAATGTGTTTACAACCCCCTTCTAAAGTATTTAAAACTTTATCTTGAATTTCTAATCCTTACTGTTTAAAGCTAAAATGAAAAAGTGGCTATGTGTTGTCGAAGGCTTTAATGGCTGGAATCACTGGGTTGCTGTGAGTTTTCTGTGCAGTATGGCCATGCTCCAGAAGCACTCTCTCCTGACATTTTGTCCACATCTATGACAGGCATCCTCAGAGATTGTGAGGTTTGTTGGAAACTAGGCAAGTGGGGTTTATATATCTGTGGAATCTCCAGAGTGGGAGGAAGAACTGTTGGAGGCAAGTGTGAGTGTTGCAATTGGCCACCTTGATTAGCATTTAATGGCCTTGCAGCTTCAAAGCCTGGTTGACTGCTGCCTGAGGGGATCCTTTGTTGGGAGGTGTTAGCTGGCCCTGATTGATTCTTGTCTGGATTTCCCCTGTTTTTGAGTGTTGCTTTTTATTTACTGGCTTTTAATACTGCTAGCCAGATTCTGTTCATTTGCATGGTTTTCTTCTTTCTGTTGAAATTGTCCACAAGCTTGTGAATTTTAATTCCTTCTTTGTTTAGTCTGACATGGTGGTTGTTAGAGTGGTCCCGCATTTCAGTATTCTCAGATAATATGCTCTATTCAGGTTGGTTCATCAGGTGCTCTGCTACAGCTGACTTCTCAGGTTCAATTCATCTGCAGTGCCTTTCATCAAGAAACGGGAATTCAGATCTGTCCCCTCACTTTTAACATTTCGGGAAAAAAGTCAAGACGTGGCTTTTTGAGCAAACGTTTGCAAATGCAGAGTAACTGACATAGGAAAATGGAATGACTAGACAATGGGACTGGACAATGTTTTAACAAGGAGATGCTAATTATTAATGTTTGTATTGATTCTGTTGTGGTTTTATATTATATATTAATATTTTAAATTATATTTATGGTATTGTGAGCATCGAATTGTTGCCTTGTAAACTGCCTTGAGTCGCCTGCGGGCTGAGAAAGGTGGTATACAAATACAGTAAATAAGTAAATAAATAAATATCTCAAACAGACAAGAGTACTTTCTCCCACCCTGGACATTCCACAGATATGTAAACCCCATTTGCCTAGTTTCCAACAAATCTCACAACCTCTGAGGATGCCTGCCATAGATGTGGGTGAAACGTAGAGAAAGAATGCTTTTGGAACATGGCCATACAGCCCAGAAAACTAACAGCAACCCAAAATGTGGGCCGTTCCCACTGCTCAAAAAGGAAGGCATTTGGCTTTCAGTCATCTAGGGACTGCTATATCTTCATTTAATATTTAATTTTGGTACTGTTCATTTAACTTTTCTTGGTGCTGTTTGACTGATGATCATCATGCTCACTCAAACTTTTTTCCAAAATCAACAGAAAACAGATTAGAACAGGTCCCCAAATGTCCATCACAGGAAACCTTTGACAGCAAATAAACATAAAGAAATTAACACTTCGAAGTGATTTCTAAAGAAGGAAAAGACAGTTAACCACTAATCTCAGGACTGTTTTAATGAAGCAGACAAACATTTTTAGAGATAGAAAGAATAGAGATTTTGTCCTATTTATAATCCTGTGGGAGACAATGCAGGAGCACATGCTTTAAGAAACAAGACAGCTGACAAGTTTAGAAGCCTAACCTGTCATTTGTAGGACCAGTTTTCCTTCTCCTTCTCTGTTATTTGGTGTCAACAGAGACTTAATGCAATTGAGAGGGGAATCAAGGTGTTATCCCAAGTAGGTAAGTAGTCATTCATCGCTACCCCTCCCTAAGCAGATACTTGGCACTACCAACATATGATAAGACAAGATTCCAAACATAGGTTTCCACTTCATTTGCTTATACTACATTCTTCTCCAGAATCAGAAGCTGGCATATATAGGAAACATAAGCATATATATCTTACACAAGCAGCTTGACAGAGGAACTGATGCTTGGCACAGCTCTGCTCTTCAAGACAACCTGTGTGCTACCAAAATACTGTCTCAATCCAGAAACTTAGGCTAACACCTTCTTCTTGTGCAAACTGCTCTCAATTATGATGCCCTTGTGCCATGATACTTATGACTAAATAATTTTTCTAAAATTGCACATCCAAAATTGATGTAATTAATAATTATAGCAATCATAGAGGTGTAATTATTATGCATGAGACTGCCCTTGAAGAGTGTTCAGGAAGTACATTTGGTTCAAAATACTGTGCTGTATTCTTACTTCACAGTTTTCTCACGCCTACAGTCTCTTAAGAAGGAATAGGGAGATTGCAGCCTAAGCCTACTCTTACTAGAACCCAAGCAAAACCAGGAAGAAAACAATGGTTAAGGCAGACAGGCAGCACATCCAATAATTTAAGGAATAGGGTGCCATGCTCTGCCCCAACATTTAAGTCAGTACAAGGACTGTAATGTTCTGTGTTGGACTAGAACACTAGGGTACTCAGCCATAGGAACCCTTTGGGTATCACACTCTAGAAAAGTGTTTCTCAACCTTTCTAATGCCGTGACCCCTTAATACAGTTCCTCATATTGTGGGGACCACCAACCAGAAAATTATTTTTGTTACTACATCATAACTGTAATTTTACTACTGTTATGAATCGTCATGTAAATATATGATATGCAGGATGTATTTTCATTCACTGGACCAAATTTGGCACAAATACCTGATACGCCAAATTTGGTGGGGTTGTTGGGGGATTGATTTTGTCATTTGGGAGTTGTAGTTGCTGGGATTTATAGTTCACCTACAATCAAAGAGCATTCTGAACTCCACCAATGATGGAATTGAACCAAACTTGGCACACAGAACTCCCATGACCAACAGAAAATACTGGAAGGGTTTAGTGGGCATTGACCTTGAGTTTTGGAGTTGTAGTTCACCTACATCCAGAGAGCACTGTGGACTCAATGATGGATCTGGACCAAACTTGGCAAATACTCAATATGCCCAAATGTAAACATTGGTAGAGTTTGGGGGAAATACACTATGACATTTGAGTGTTGTCATTGCTGGGCTTTATAGCTTTCTTACAATCAAAGAAAATTCTGAACCCCACCAATGATAGAATTGGGCCAAACTTCCCACACAGAACCCCCATGCCATGAATGGACTTGCTGGCACAAGCCTCTCCCCGCCCTCACATGCTCTCCCTCGCCCCGCACATGTGCAGCATGTTGCCATGCGCTAAGCACACCTGCTCTCCCCTCCCCACTTGGAGTCTCAGAAACAGCCCTCCCCTTGGCTAAGAGGCTGGCCATTCACAGAGGGGGAGGGCTTTTGGTGGGAGGATTTGCCATCTGTTTCCAAAAAGGAAGAGAAGGTGAACTACAAATCCCAAACTCAAGGTCAGTGCTCACCAAAACCTTCCACTATTTTTGTTGGTCATGGGATTGTGGCACAGCTGGCTGAGTGTCAGCTGCATTAAGATCACTCTGACCAAAAGGTCATGAGTTCGAAGCCAGCCCGGGTTGGAGTGGGTTTCCAACCAATTGTGTGTAGCCTGTTGTCGACCTTTACAACCCGAAAGACAGTTGCATCTGTCAAGTAGGAAAATAAGGTACCACCTTAAAGTGTGGGGAGGCTAAATTAACTAATTTATGAGGCCATAAAGAAGACTCCAGCAAAGCACTCCAGCAAAAAGCATGCGGGGAATGCGGAAGTACTTCATCAGTGTCGCAGATGGACGATGAAAGCGACAGCTCCCCTGGCGGCCAGAAAAAGTTAAATAGCCTCTGTCTATGTCTGTATATGTTGTATGTCAAAAATTGGCATTGAATGTTGGCCATATATGTGTACACTGTAATCCGCCCTGAGTCCCCTGCGGGGTGAGAAGGGCGGAATATAAAAGCTGTAAATAAATAAATATAAATATGTTTTCTGGTGGTCTTTGGCAACTCCTCTGAAACCCCCTCATGACCCCACCCCCAGGAATCCCAACTCCCAGGTTGAGAAATGCTGCTCTAGAAG